CTAATACACGAGTACGAGAAGTGGATCCGCAGTATTCATTGAAGCTCTCGAGTCGTTCGACTGAATAAGAACCTTGACGACCCACTTGAATGTTGTTTCATTTCTTTTCGAGACGACTGCGCATCTGCATTTTTGAGATGTGAGGCTGTAACCGCCTTGTGCGGATTATGTTCTATGTTGAAGCTAGCCCAATCGAATCGGACGACACCTTGGCCACACTTGCAATTTTAGCGTAAGAGAGCTTTCCTTGATCGGTTGAATAATAGTGAGAAATGAGATTGCGTCGGCGAATAGATCGTGTTTTGGTTGGGATATTTTGACAATAATATTCTAATGCTACGAGTATCTCAAGTAGCTTGCATCGGTCTTTTGGAAGAGGATGCGAAGACGTGCATGCCGGCAATGAAACAAATTTTCTAGCATAGGAGTCTCGCATCACGTCGAGAGATAAAAATCTTGAGTCAAACTTGGTGATTGCACTGCAGCAAAATGCATTGGACCGTAGTTCCCGGAATTCCGAATGATGTGTGTCCCAAGTCGGTAACAATGAAGGAGACAGACAGAAACTATGTCACAGTTAACTCGACATGCAAACAGACTTGATAAGCGAGCTGTACAGATTCACAGTAAAACTTGACGTTTGCGTTATGATGTCCTCCAATTCATGTTTGACAGTTATTGCAATATATTTAGTCCGGAATTCCCATATCGGCTGCATAAGTAACGATCTCTTGGATGAGTTAAGTCGCACTTTGTAAAACTGAAATCTCACTGTCAGAACCAGGTACGCACTGCTATTATTTAAGTCACACAATGCTAAGCTAAGATCTGGATTTCCAACACAAGGATTGATAGTTGCAAGAAGCGCGTCTCAAACTTGTTCATTTACAGGATGAGGAAACCCAATTTCGATAGATGCTCCCACCTCCATAAGTATAAGAAATCGTTAAAGTCCTAACAGGCGAGGACGCGAAACTGAGAGTACTAACAAAAGTTCTCACAAAACTTCATGCGCACTCACGAATCTCATCAATATAGGAAGTGATCCCAACGATTATTGTAGCAAACTTTTTCAAGTCCATCAACACTTCATTAGAAGTGTTTTACGAACTCCAATCAAATACACCGTGCACGCTACAAGCAAAATATATAATTAATTTGCTTTCCATCTTTGAAACGGGTGGCGGAGCGGTAAACACTCTAACTATATCGCTATCGTCAGAGTAGGTACCGGAATAAGGGAGTATGCCAAAATTACATGAGTGTGAGAAGTGACTTGAATAAATCGAATGTTGACAACCCACTTGACTTTTCTTCGATTTCTATTCGAAACGATATCACATCCACACTTCAAGCTGTCAGCTCTCCATCAAAAAGTAAAAAAAGTTATATTTGGTCATGGACGGAACCACAGCTGTCCCAAACATGGAGAAACGTACGTGGGGTGACATTATTTTAACGAGCATCCTCACGAAGCAGGTTCGAAGACGGTCTGATGGCATTTCGACAAAGTGTTGGTTGAAGACCTTTAGACGATCTCCGCATCGTCGAGAGCTTTGACGCGACCGTGGGCATGAAGTTTGCTGAACGCCACCAGATCGTAATGGCCGAGGTCTTAAAATCTGAGGCGATTAAATATATTTCAGCTTCGACAGAAGCAGTTTTATCTACTCATCAAGGTGACGATGGCGAAATTGATGATCAAGGTCGCTACGTCTCTGGCAAACGACGAGAACACAATGCCACTCAGTACCCATCCCGACCACCTCTAGGCAGCGAATTAAATTGTTGGTCGCATCGGGACAACACTGAATAACGTCGCAAACCTGGATACCGTACTAAGGAAGACAATCGATGTGGCACAGGCGTTTAATGTCGCGTTGATCTTCAAAATGCCACGAAATTGTTAATCTAGCACTTTAGAACATTTATACATTATCAAACTCTTGCTGAGTGCGATAACGCCGTACCAAGACGTCATATTCAGCGCAAAGGAGTAGAAGTTAAAGAAATTGGCTGTGCCTTTCAGGAGACTCGACATTTTTATGACAAGCTCGATTTTATAGACGACGATAGAAAAAACGCGAATTGTCGCGGCTCCTGAAGGCGCTCGTGGTGTATGAGATCACACTAATGTCAACTACACCGACAATGTTAATTTACAACCACTGGATCAAGAATTTCTCCGATGAGCTGGTATAGTGGATCCACACGCGCCTGTTTCACCTAAAACCACTGCTCATGTGGCTCTGGGGTGCGCTTTGCATAGATTAATGAGGCACGGCATTTTTCTTGACGAATTTGAGGAGCTGGGCATGCTTGACGGTGAGCATCATGCGAACGAGTTGGTGAAGCTTGTAACAGGTGGCCTCGACGCCTTTTTGACTTGTTCGGAAATTTGGCATCTCACCGCGAACACCTTCGGCGTGAACAAGAATGGGCAATTATTGTTCGAGTATCGCCGACGTGAAAAAGGAAGAAAGGACCCCTATCGGCGGTGGACTCCGACTTTCCCCGGCTTCAAAACAGCTGCAAAATCCCACACTTGGTCGCTAGGGCATTATGGGTGGCTTGCTCGTGTTAACATCCGCGAAACGTACCCGCCTATGGATATCTAAAAAAAGAACGTTAGTCTTAAGCCTTCTGACGGATTCGTTCGGGGCAAGGCGAACCACTTTCTGCTCAGGGTGTTGAACACACTGCTAGTCCCGAGTACTAAGTGCATTTCAGCACCACCTAACAAATACATTTGACGCAAGTTTCTCGACTCTATCATCCTCATCGTGCCAAATCTGACAGGATGTTCTGGACATGGACGTTGAAGCAGCTGATTTTTAGAAGGCGATCTGGAATATGAAGGCGACGGCTTCTTTATACCAGGTTGCGACAGCTGTCGTCAGCAAGTGTAATACAGGACCGTCTAAAAAGATGTACACAGCTAGCGTCGCAGCGCAATTCTGCCGTCGTGCTGCCGCAAAAGAAGGGCTTGCAAGCCAACACAGTGCCTACCGCTGGAATGCTCCAGTTCAAGTCGAATTGAGGTTCTTTTGAAGGCGCTGACGTATCGACTACCAATAAGCATCACAAAATTGATTTGAAGTAATCTTGTACACTTCCCAGCGAATCTTCAGTGTTTGTCACAAACCGTGATGAAGCGCCATACGCATTATTCTTTGACTTGTAGAACACGTTCGACTACGTCAATTACGACTACTTCTTCCGGCAGCCTAAGTGCATCGGGGTTGAATATGGATTTATCCGCTGGGTCACGCTATTGAGTATGGATTTGCTCGCGCATTTGCTCATCAGGTGGACATTTAACTTACACTAATGCCAACGTGTGTTTAGAAGCTCGCTGTCTGCTTCGCTCTTCATATTGATAATAGCATACTCGCTCGTCAATCTGCTTCACCCGCGTGAGGGAACATGGTGTCTGTCTCAGTGACTCCCACACAAGAACGAGCATGTTTCGACGCCTCTGAGGAAATCCATTGTGAGTTTGCAGACTCAGTTTGACTGGGTTGGGAATTCTGCAAAATTTTCGGTGCAGCGCTGAACTTAGCAAGTCCGTGCAGCTTCGCTGGGCCGACCCCTTGACTGTCCGACGAAGTCCGGGTACAGATTCATGATCAAGCAGAGGGATGTAAGCTTCCCTGCGTCCGGTTCAGCTGGTCGACCGTCGACGATAGTCCTCAAAGCACTGGATTAGTGCTTCATTGACTGCTTCAACTCATACTTCCTTTGCGCAGTAATTCTTTTAGGCCACCTCCTGATTGCACAGGGCTGTACTATATAAACGAATGCGAATCGGCACAGCCGTTGCACATTGGATCTGCATTGGGATGAATCCCGAACCGCGGCGAAGCTACCGTTTACACATCCATGCGCGTGTTTGCGCTTAGCTTACATAGTGACTCAATATGTGTCAAATGAAAATGGCCGATACAAGTTGACTTCGTGAATCGCCTCATCGACTAAATGATGACCGACGTCATGCCCTAAAAGCAAGCCAAGTTTTTGAAAGCACTTTCCCGCTAGGAAAGTTAAGTATCACCCAGCATGGTGCCAGCGATGTTTAACCGATGACTAATGACCCAAATGACCCACAGTGATATCAAAGCAAAGTGGTGATCGTCGGCGTCATGAGCATTATGATGTTGAGCATGTTTCCGTAATTCCGTGCTCGCATCTGGATTGCAGGTGAAGGCACATTTGATTAAGATCCGCTTCAGTCACGTCAAGAAGCGATAATCATGGCTCATGCCGTGCTGGGTAAGCTGCAACGCAGGTCTTGCTGCAAGTTTGAAAATGACGTCTCGCGTTTTTCCTGCTACTGGTGCGCTTGCCCTTAAGGTTGTTGGAAAACACCAACACCAGAATCTGAAAGTGCACCATCGGTGGCTTTGCCACGATCACGTCGAAACAACATATGTTATCAAACTATACGCATGCATCCCAGCTCCAGGTACTTGAACTTAATATAATGTCAGTGTTTTCATCCGCGTCCGACATGGCTTGACACCGTGCTCGCCACGTACATGTGCGTCCGAAGCGAATAGAGCACGATATATTCTTCAATAGTGTGAGGCTTAATCTCCGCGGGGTTAAACTTTAATTTTGTAGTCCGACCGCAACAATGTTTGTTCGACGCAAAACAACGCACGCCAGTATTTAGTCTCGATCCTGGTGATCTGTTTGATATTTGTAGCTCATCTTTAGTACTTCCAAATATAAGGAAGACACAGTTAAAAGTTTTCTTAACATTTTGTGACAGAGATTTAAGCTGGGATCCGAGCTCCTTGTTACACAATTTTTAGTGTGTGGTTGCTCGTCCAATTTAGTAACCAATTTCCGGGTGCCGAATCCTTAGGGTATCGAACTCATTATCTCCCGGTTCCAGGTCAGATGACTAACCTAGAGCTCCAGCGTCGGTAAAAGCTTATGACTCGCACTACCTTTGGTGACTAAGTAAAGGGTTTCTTCATTGTGCAACTTTTTAAAGTGTCAATTTTGACAAATTACCGAAATGGATTCCAGCCACTCGTTACTCTGAAAATTCCACTTTCCGCTCAAGTGACAAAGTAGTTGCTCCATGTATTTTGTATCCCCTCACTCGCTCTCCCCAAGCTAACTTCGCGGATTCCAGCCACTCGTTACTCTAAGAAATTTCCACTTTCCGCTCAAGTGACAAAGTAGTTGCTCCATGTATTTTGTATCCCCTCACTCGCTCTCCCCAATTTGACTTCGCCGCCTAAGAGTCAGTCCCAATCTCATGAATTGAAACGTCTTCGTCTACACACAAAAAGGGTAGAGTCGGGAACTTCGAAGATAATATACGGGTTGATGATGGTATCTAGTGGAGGCAGTATGGCCCCAGACGGTGCCTGCAGCCCACTGAAATGCAGACGCAATTCCATTTAGGCAACCTTGCCTTCCAGAAGTCAAAATTCATCTGGCTGTGCCCACGCATGCTGGTGATACCTGGAGACTGTTTCACATAGTGACCAATGGTCGCGTGAGTCACAGGCTCCATTACAATCGTGTTGAGACCTTTGGCTGTGTCTTTCTCAAATAAATGACGATGTAAGTACTGAAGGTGAGAGACAAATGTCGTAGAATAAAACCTAAATACTGGGTCGACTGTATTATGTCAAACAGACAATGGCTGCGGTGGGACTGGGTGAAGCAGATTATAACTGCGCGGTGTATGCGCCACACGTCAACCTTCTTTCCACCAAAACCGGAATTTCACGATGCCGGTTCCTTGTACGAGTGGCGTTTGCCATCTGCAATTCCTACTTCTTTTAAGGTCCTTGTATTTGAACAAGTCATATCATGTGGGATGTGGCGCCACTGCCGATAAGTCATTCTGCTGATCATACTTCACTCACTGCAAGTACCGCGTCATCACCTCTGACACATTTTTTGGCCGGGCAGTTCGCTTCATATGACCAACCTGATCACTATCAAAAACCTTACCTTTAAATCCGCCGGTATTTTGTGGAGCGCCACCATTTCGAACGCTGCCTCGTCCACCTCTTAATCTACCAATAGTTCCACTTGCGCGAACGCACACTTCTTAGCCTTTTTTCGTGCAGCTTCTCCTTTGCTCCAATCGATGTGATGTCTTTTGCTTATTTTACAATTGATAAAATCATATAATGTTCCGAATTTAGACTGCTGAAAAGCAACATCAGCTGACACGGGCTCTCCCGTTGTCTGGAGACCCAAAACTAGTAGTCGAGATGTTCCGCCATGCTAGTTCCAATTATCATCTTGAAGTCGCGAAGTCGTCGCGTTATCATTATGCAACATTTCAGTGTCGACCGATTGCAGAAACCACGTAGCGTTATCCATGCATTTATGGCGCTCGTAATTTTGATGGAATGTGAATCTCAAGGCCTTGTACAATGATACTAAATACCTTGGCGTCGTTTACAAGCCACGTCTCTCTCATCTGTTACGGGCAGGAAATGCCCAAGAAGATCCGTCTTCACCAGAGTGATCCTTATATCGAACTCCAAGTGGTAAAAGTTGTCACTCCTCGGGCGGACTTCGGTATGCATGTTTGCCATTGTGGGTAGTAAGGAAGGCTTGGTGCGGCTGCTAACCTACAGCTTTGATGATGAACCCGGCAGTGAAAGGTTTGTTATCTTCCTTTGTTTTGAAAAATCATTAAGTGAGAGGAAAAATATGTATTAGCTGACTACGCCACAGAGGACACTTAACACCGTGTACAGAAATTTTAGTTTTTGGGAAATTGAGCTGTAAGTGGCTTACCACCGCACTTTAACCACTAAGCTAATCTTGGTTCGTTTTTATACGAACAAGTGTAATAGCTGTGCATGTAAAACGGAGATGTATGACATGGATCGCAATCCAGAAACTCAGAGCCTAAGGATCACCTTGTTGTGTGTCGAAATAGGAATTTACCTTGCAAGTCGTGGCGATTTTCCTCTTCATTTTCAAATAACGATATCAGAGACCATTGAAGCCGTGCTGATGAGTAACTATCTTGCTACGTTCTAAAAAAGAGAGGGCCGATTGCCAACTTGTCTGATATGGACGGCGGTGAGGTAGTCAGCCACCGGCATAGTGTCCAACAATTTGTCTAGGCTGAGGGTTGCGGGACAATCGACAATCCCACACTCACATCTTCACACACGAGTCCGACATTTTTGTTTTGACACACCACTACAGAACGTTGTATTGCTCATACGCTAAACAGGCTCGATAATATAAGCAGTCGCCTATTCCACGCAAGAGTATGGCCTCAAATTGGATTAGCAGTTCCATGCTTCATATATTCTGGATGGCTTCAACCCGATTTTTATGTGAGAGCAAGAATCCTTGCTCACGTCTGTGACCAATAACTATGATAATGACTCATCATGCTCCAGATCCTCAACAACGCTCCACCCACCTTCAAACGGATTCTGTCGCTCACTGCCATATCGCTCACTTACACCAAATAATTTTGAAATATCGTCGTTCACAACAATATTTAAAATGAAAAGACCGCCGAGAAAGTTCGTCTTGACCACGTTCTTTTGGTGCATCAGGATATGAAAGCTCGCAAGCTGTAAGCGAATCTCCGACAAAATTTCACGATATCAGTGTTATCGTGAGTCGACAACTGTCTCCACAAGTACAACAAGATCTGTGCGGAATAAACGCACCTCTCGTACAGTTACTGAATAAAGACATGGAGTCAGGAATTGATGGCAACAGAAAGCTTTGGATTCATAAATGCGAATCGCTTTAAAGTTACAATCGTATTGCTGTAGCACTACCCTGAACCACTCCATCTTGTTTGTAATTTTGCAATCGATTGTGCGCTGTATATGACGTGTTTAAAGTAACCTTCAGGACAACTTAGATGATTTACCCGGCTGACGACAAAGTGCTCCTTTGCATAAAAATATGCGACCGTTAAGCTCCGAGTATACCTTGTCGGGAGATAGTTCACGCTTTACACGGGCCACGATACGCAACTCAGTCAACGCAAATGGATTATAGAACACCTGAAAGCGGACGCTTCTTTGAGTACAACGTTGTTGTCTATTACAACAAAATCAGTTTAGTTTGCTCAACTGGTGGTAGCCTTCGGCAACTGATGTTCACCCTCCTGCAAATCCGACGCGAAATTTAGACGAAATGGATACGTGTTGTATGCTATTGTGTTCATACGTATTCTGTGAAATTGTAAGGGTACAACTAAATCAATTGTCCAAAACGCATTTAAAGTTTGTGGAAATCTCTAAGTATTGGTTCTAATGATGGCGATAGGACTACACAGAAAAGACGTCCGTCGGACACATTGGCTGTTAGCCTCACGTCAAGCAACTCAAATAGCTCTCTTATTTTGAATATAATAAACGTTTATATTTGGTATTAGCTCGAAAAGAAGTCAGCATAGATGTGTATCTCTTTTGAGTAAACATAGCGAATGAGGTGATCATTTTAGATGTCTCTATCGGTTCCACTCGTTACTGGCGCTTTTAAATTCACCCTCAATACGTTTGCTAACACGGACTGTTGAAAGCGAAGCTATGCAAGTCGCACGGTATCACCGCTAGGTTAGCTAATGGTAATTCTTGGTCACGAAGAGACCCGGGAACCGACAACCCAATGGAAAGAATCAATAGTCGCTTGCTTAAAAACTTCAAACGGCGATAAACTTGCGCTGGTAAGACACCACAAGAAACGCATTGGCGGGTGCACAAATGGCATCAGCCGCGAGAGATCCACTAACGAGCATTATCCCTTTGCGAGCTGGGTCAGAGTATATATTTTCCGCTTAATGTGACAGTGCTCTGGATGAAGCAATAGGGCGTCTCACTTGCGATTGACAAGCTAAGAGACTATGCACAACAATGGAAACTAGCGTGCAGTAGAGGAGGTTTTGTCGAGATGAAAATATGCGAGCTTATTACGAGTACACACTGCTTAATCAGGCGTATCGTGTGTATTCAATGTTTTTGTTTACTACTAACGAGAGCTGTGTAAAATATTATATTCCTAGGTTGCGATCACTTCTCGCCGCGATGACGTTAGACCCCTTTTGACGACGATAACATCTGCCAGGGTCTTCAAAATATGACAACTATATTCTGCTCGCCCACCCTGACTGTTTGCGTTAGGAGTGGTGTTGATAAGATGTGTTGATAAGATGGCAAAAACCGAAGTGAATATATTTAGGTCCT